TGGTGTTGTGGTTGTTTTTTTTTTTTTTTTTTTTTTTTTTTCGTTAGAAGTGAGCAAATGCTATTTAACACAATGCCTATATTAAAAAAAAAGAAGAATTTATAAATACATAAAGAAATAAATAAAGTAGAGGTATCGCATTATCGTCCTTTGTGAACTAGTCTGCTGCTTTATCTTTGCCTCTTTCATAATCCGCCAATGGTTATATTTGAAATTATCAAATAAAAGCATATTTGGGTAACACATCAGGTTTTGTGCTTTCCTACATTGTGCAGAACCGGTGGGAAGTGTTCGACCAAAATTCCCGAGTTTGGACAACTTAAATGGGCTTATAACAAGTGTAATGGGAAGTTTGCCACTCCTTTGTCCAGCTCAAGGCTTCCCAGTTCCGATGTATAGGTAGGCCTTGTATATACAGGACATATTTAGTCATTAAATCCACACTCACATGTATTCACATACGCCGACAAATAATCAATGGACACAGTTGATTTTTAATTAGTTTAAATACCCGCATTTTTTTAAAAAATAAAAAACAAAAAAAAAACAAAAAAAAAATGCGCTAAAAAAAATTTTAAAAAAAAATAAAAAAAAAAATTTTTTTTAAAATAAAAAACAACTGGCAACAAATAGGATAACTTTAATAACAGATCTCAATCTTCAAACAATTCGTCTTAACTTATGAACCAACTTTTTATATGTATATCTATGTTCCTAGAGCCTGTTGCTGGCGTCAGACCAAAATTTTCGACAAGCGAGAACTCGCGCACTTATACTAATCGGTTCAGCGAGCCATTGACGCTTTTCTGCCCAGCACAGGCATTTCCTGTTCCAGTTTTCAGGTATAATTATCTTTATCAGTAAATTATAAATGCACTTTTTTTTTAAGAAATACATCGTCATATATATATATATATATATATATATATATATAACTGTTCATTAATAGGTGAATAATACAATGAACATAAAACGATAATTTTCTCATCTTTAACATTCTATTAATATCTTCAGAAGATATTTTGTAAAATTCTTTTATCGCGCTTATCCACAACTGTTTATTTGCATACAAATGCTTCATTTGAGATAGCCTGCTCGTAATTTGAAATTACGGGATTATTCCATGCAAACATGATTCAATTAAATGCATGTCAAGGAAAATGAAATAATCCTCTCATATCGTATGAATATAATGGTAATTTGTACATTTTCTACGATAATGTGAACAATTGTTATTTTGGTTCTGTTACGTAACCTTTCACGGAAACTCTGAAGAACCAGTTGGGAGTGCACGACCGAAATTCCCATCTATGGCCGATTCTCAAACATTTAAAGCTATGCTCAATGGCGCTATGACTCTTCTATGTTCTGCCCAAGGGTTTCCCGTTCCGATGTACAGGTAATTTGTGAATTCCAGACTAAAAATATTAAAAAGTGGCTCCTTTTTATATCTATAGAACCAGCTTCGAGCACTCGACCACAATTAGCAGGTGGAAGTGATCTTCAACGCTTTACATCTGCAACCCTTAAATCCGTCACCTTGCAATGTCCTGCACAAGGATTTCCAGTCCCACTATATAGGTAGACTCTAAAGAATAATAGTACTAACAAATACAGTAAGCATACTAACGTATTAGAGCTATATGCAAGGTCTATAATATTATATTAATATTGCAAGTATGCCCAAGGGTTTCCCGTCCCGGGGGGTGGGGTAAGGGAGGGAGAGGGTGCAAATGACTCTTTTTATTTGACAAAGACATTGGTTGATTTTGTAGAACCTGCTTCGAGCACACGGCCTCAGTTATCTGGCGGTACAGACTTTTTCCGCTTTAGTAACGCAGCCAATAAGAGTGTCACCGTTCAATGTCCTGCGCAAGGATTTCCGGTTCCGTTTTATAGGTAGATTATCGTGAATTTCTTCAATTATTCCTAATCATATATTCATTTTATCATGATATTTTTCTCAATTTTGGCTTACAATCGACATTCTCGATAAAGAATTGCACAACAAATAGCTGGATATTATTACGGCGTACGTCTTTTGTCCCGCATCAGGTTTAATAATGCAGTTGTTTTAATAATTTACTTGATAAACACTTCGATCTTAAATTCGAAAACCTCGTAGAGCCAATATCTAGCACGAGGCCAAAAATGACGGCATTAGATGTGAAATCAACAAATCCTAGTGTTCTATTTGGACGGGATTCTACTTTACTTTGTCCCGTGCAAGGATTTCCTGTACCTGGCTTCAGGTAACTAAGACAAGTAATAAAAATAATAGAAAACAAAAACAAGACAAAAAAACAAAAAACAAAAAAAAAAGATTTATATTTAAAATTAAACGTGCCCTCGGAATGGCTATCCTAAACCAGCTTTTTCTTCATTTTAACGAAGACTCACTTAATTCAGTGATTATTATTTTTTTGAATCTCGCGCACGATAGAGCCAGTATCCAGTGTCAAACCCAGATTATCGAATACTGATATCAAGATTATTGAGCCAACTTATAGAACGAATGAAGTATCTTTGATATGCCCAGCGCAGGGATCCCCAGTTCCAGTCACACGGTCGGTTTACGATTCTAGCGCACAAATAAAATATTAATATCTTATCAGTACGTTCTCATTATTCTTCTAGAACCATCATCAAACACAAAGCCTAAGTTAGCTAGCAATCGAAAGGTTGAATTTGTAGATGTAACAATAAATGTTGCAACAAATTTAATGTGTCCTCTTCAAGGTCATCCTGCACCTCGTACGAGGTTAATATGTTTTCTTGCTACCTATTTAATATGCAGTTACATACCTTTCGAGAGAAGGCTCTTCTCGATTATTTTATCTTTATTATTATTATTATTATTATTATTATTATTATTATTATTATTATTATTTTCAAACGCCCTGTCCTAGTCTTAAAAAGGCGCCTAAATAATTAAAAGCAAACGAATATTTTGGAAAATAGAGCCAGTGGCCACAAAAGCACCGAAATTTTCGAATGACGCGAAAAAATCCTGGTACGACAAAACATCAGGCTTCGACATGACGTTATTCTGCCCAGCTCAAGGGTTTCCTGTCCCGAGCTACAGGTACCAAATACCTATAAATAGACATTGAAAAGTCGATTTAATTTTATTGCCAAACAAAAACAGAACCAGTATCGACAAAGCCACCAAAATTTTCGAACGATGCTGTGTTAGCTTGGTATGTTAAAGTCTCTGGTCACGATATCACGTTATTTTGTCCAGCACAAGGGTTTCCTGTTCCTAGCTACAGGTATAATATTCGATGAAATACATGTGTTGACGATAGGTATTTTATTTTAATTCGATAGAACCAGTAGCGACGAAAGTACCGAAATTTTCAAACGATGCAAAATTAGCTTGGTACGATAAGCAATCGAAACACGATATTACGTTATTTTGTCCAGCGCAAGGATTTCCCGTACCATCATTCAGGTAAAGCCTTTGAATATTGAACAATAGGTAGCAAGTGGTTTTTTTTCTTTTTTTTTTTTTTTTAAATGTTTCTCCAGAACCTGTTGGAAGTAAAGCTCCCGCTCTAATGGGCGATTTAAGAGGTGGTTGGATGATGAAAAAAGCTAATACGAATGTAGCCCTTTTATGTTCGGCCCAGGGTCACCCTACTCCAATATTTAGGTAAAGATATTCCTGCGCGCATAATCATTAGTTATTAATTTTATGGTTAGAACCGGTACAAAGTAGAGCACCCTCGGTGTTTGGAGAAAAAGGTAGTCTTATGGAAAGACAAAGAAATGACAACATAGTGATTCTATGCCCAGGACAGGCTCATCCTGTGCCCACATTCAGGTAAATTATACAAAAATCATTGCCAGTCGAGTCTTCTTCGAAGTGATCTATTTGGAGAAGTGCAAAAGGTAGTTGTGAATCGTAAATACAAATACGTTTTGGAGCTTTTTATCGATGATCTTTTTTCGTATCTAATTTGTTTTATTAAAACACTCAACGGTTTGTCCGTAATTATTGGAAATATAATTTGGAAAACTCTTATCTATGGCGACTGTGCAATCGTTTGCTAATAAAATACTCAAGTATTTTTACTAAATAATTTTTTTTATTATTGATTATAAAGAGCCAGTTGGTAGTAAATCGCCATCGGTTTTGGGGGATACGAAAAGGTGGATGCAAATAAAAAATTCTCAAATCTTTGAAATACCATGTCAAGCACAAGGACATCCAGTTCCAGCTTTCAGGTAGAATATCAAATTAATTTTAAAATCACTTAACGGAACGTTTAATATGGTGTAATAGTGCGTTAATAATACAAGTTTGATTATACTAAATGAATCACTAAATATAAGAATGATGTTCAACTAGAAGTTTTTTTTTTCTTCTTATACTAAGGAACGATGTTTTATTAGTAAATAAATAGTTATTATACTTCAAGTGCGATGCTGAGTTACACCGTTATTAATTTCATCATCATTATCGTGGAGAATTAATGCATTCGGTAAGAAAGCATTATTTGATTAGGGATGGGGGGCATACAAATTTAATGTTTTATAAAATTAAAATTGCTTTATATTTTACCTAAATTTTGAATATTCATTATTATATGAATTTTTTGTGATTTCAATCATTTCCATCGCGAACGATAAAATAAACTAAAAGACAAAAGCAAAAGAAAACAACAAAAAATAATAAAAAAAAAAAAAAAAAAAAACAGTATCGAGAAAGCCCAATGTTTCATGTCATTTTCCATACCTTTATTATCGTGTAATATTAGACTTGAAAATAGATATTAAAGGAAAATCAAGTTAATTTTTCTGCAAAACGATTAGTATTCTTGTTATCGACATTACATTCATTAATTTTATAATTCAACTTATTATGAAAATTTCTTAGAGCCGGTAAATGGCGCAAAACCGAGAGTGGCATCAACGCAGAAATATGACGTTCTCACGAGTTCTGTATCGTCGCAAATAGTAATGCTTTGCCAAGCACAAGGACATCCAGTTCCAAATTTCAGGTAGCTTCACACAAAGCCGAAGCATAGTGTTAAAAATAAAATATTTTCAATTCAACTTTCACTTGACATTTGAACTCGACGTCGGTCGATAAAATTTTGTAATTCTTTATACATTATACGTCGCTAGAATAATGCAATAGAATAGATAAACATGAAGCATTTAAATTTAATAAAGTAATTTCTTGCAAATATGTTCGATAAATACTCTTAGAACCAGTAAATGGTGCAGCACCAAAGGTCCCACCTACTGCTAAAATAACAGTATTGTCGATCGCAATGACGTCAACCGTGGCGATGTTGTGCCAAGCTCAGGCCAACCCAATCCCAATCTTCAGGTACGCTAGCCGTTGCAGAAAATTGAATAAAGAACCGAAAGATTCCCATTGTGTACAGTGGAAGGTCTTATTTATCCAATAAGATCTTTAATGCGCAATATTAAAATAGCTTCTTTCAGAATCATTCTTATAATAATACATTTATAGAGACGCTGGGTAGTAGTCCTCCACGTCTACCGCCTCGATCAAAATTTGACGGGACGGCAAAATATGTTGGAGAGCATGTAACTTTATTGTGCGAAGCACAATCCAGTCCAGCGCCACTATATAGGTTTGCTATAATATTTGGGCGTATCGAAAGAGAAAAGAAAAGAGTGAGTGAGTGAGTGAGTGAGAGAGAGAGAGAGAGAGAGAGAGAGAGAGAAATTCCCGTTCCCAGCATTTTATGGATAAGCTTGCATTCATTCTTGTATCAATTGCCCTTGTTAGCGAACCCAATTAAATGATATATTGTAGAACCAGTAGGCGGCAGTCCTCCTCGATTACCACCAAGATCAAAGTTAGGCGAGGTTACAAAAGCATTAGGACAGATGATAACGTTATTGTGCGAGGCACAATCTAGTCCCCCTCCGCTATACAGGTGAGATAAAAGTATGCCGCTGCTTTCTTCGCGATAACGTAAGATTAATCGAGAACCAGCGTATGTATGAGGTCTACAGCTTTTTAAAATACCCATTCCCAGCATACAAATCCGAGCACAAAGTGAGAATATTCACAGGAAGCTGTTGTATGATCGCGTTAGTGTGAGAAAGCCTTAGGCGTGACTGTTTGTTATGGAAATTTTAGAACCTCGAACTGGAATGCCACCTAACGCGAAAGACAAGGACGTCAATGGTATGAAGAAGTCGATAGCGGCGAGTAGAATAGTCGGTTTGCTCTGCCCTGTCCAGGGCTTCCCATCTCCTGCATTCAGGTACGGGCTCTCTTGCGCAGCTTAAGAAACAGAAAAAAATATAATATTTGTATTTCGTGTTAGAGCCGAACGGCAACGTTGCACCGCGAATTGCTGGCGAGCGCTATGAAGGCGGCAAATTGGTTAGTGTTTCCACAGGAAATGTCATTGCTTTGATGTGTGCGGTTCAAGGCTCGCCGGCTCCTATACAGAGGTATATACTTTGCTTATCCATGTAATGAGCTGCTTCGTCCTTAAAGTGGTCGAGACCAAACGATGCGTAAAGCTAGGAAACTCACTGTTACGCTCGTTGGAGAGTAACGTACCCATCGATCCATTAGGCTGAATCCACTTCAATTGTCCAGAGAGCTAAAAATTTCTTATACTTCACAATTTTGAAAATTAATATAATTAATTCGGCCAGGATCTATGAATGCAATTAAATTAATAATGCATTGAGGGACATTTGCATTCTTATATGCTTAAAAATTTATCATTTTAAACAGACGTATGAAACGTTAAATTACTTTGTATGTCTTTATTATTAGCCGAACGGTCTAATTTTCTCTTCAATGACTGTGATTAAGTAGCGCTGGACTTATAATCAATAATGAAGTTGATTTTCAATTTGCATTCCTAAGCAACAACATCCAGCAACAAAATTCACAATGCACGCCTAATGAATAATTCCTTAAATCTTCTCGATCGCCAGCATTAAATGCGGCAAAATACTTTCCTTTGAGACGAGTTTGACGATTCTCGTCTTTGCAGATCCCTCTAGTAATGTAGTCCCACGATATGCGGGGGAGCGTTATGCAGGCTGGAAATTAGTGGAGATGTCGATTTTAAAAACCGTAGCCTTAAATTGCGTGATTCAAGGATCACCCGTGCCGATCACAAGGTACGTGTAGAAATTGGATTTTCCACATTACATGATTGGAACGATCGTTCTATTGAATTTGCATATATGATTTATGCTTCGTTCACTTTACTTTCCTTTTTAATTTCGTGAAAATTTATCCATCTCACAACGCGTCGTTATAAACACGTCGTGTAATGTACAGCTCAAAAGTGAAATTTTCAATAATTTGTTTCAATGTGTTTTTGTAATACTTTTCTGAAAATGTCAGCCACATGTAAATAATATTTACAAACAGTAACAAGCATTTTTTGAATAAAATCTGCTTAAATTGTTTAAATTGTTATATTTTTGGTACAGTGATTAAATTTTTTATATTGTTTTTGTTATTATCATTATCATTATCATTATTATTATTATTATTATTATTATTATTATTATTATTATTATTATTATTATTATTATTATTATTATTATTATCATAGTCATCGATATTGTATAAAAAAATTAATACTGGACACGTAAGTTGATGATTTATTATCTCGGTGATAATTGTAAATGAAATTTATTTGAAAAGTAAAGTATACACTTATTGATAATTGTTTTTTACACTGACACTTTACATTACAATTATTCTTGCAAATAAAGCTAAATAATCTTCATAAAGATAAAGTTAAAAATTATTCTTATTACTATTCGCTATTCATTTTCTTAGATAGAAAAAAAATTGGTATGATTTTCTTTTGATAGAATATATAAATACTAATAAGAATTAACCAAATCGTATTAAAATAATATATGATGAGGTCAATTATTCATTCCAGACTCGTTATTTGAATCGATAACAAAACTATTATTCAATTAATACTTCGAAAGAAATTTTAAATTTATTGTAAATTAGAGTATAGTTGCCAAATTTTTAAATGATTTCTTAAATTGTAAAAATTTACAAGATGACTGACTATAAGTAGAAATTTATAAAGCTAAATATTTATTGGTTCCCCTCTCTCTCACATTACTAGAGCATTTAGTGGTCGTTTTAATTTTAATAATTTTAATTTTTCTAAGTGAACACGACATATTATTGACTTACATCGAGAGGAATTACATTTTCAATGGATTGAATAGGTCTTCTGTGAATACTTTTGTAGTTCTATGCTTAGCCATTTAGTTCTATTATTTAATTATCTATAGGCTAAGATTTTATTTCTACAATGCGAATGTGAGTTATAATTTTATGATAATTACATAGAGAGAATATTTTTTACCGGAAAATAATTTTATTACTTTCTTCTTTATTTCTTATTCAGACTATTCATATATCTTTGAAACGTTGATAAATGACGGAATAATATTTTTTATATTTTTAATTAATTATGCTATACTTGTATTGCGCAACAATAATATTAAAAACGTAATTTCACCTATCCATATTAATATATCGCCAATACAAATACAAATAAAAGTAGATTAATAGATTTTGTTACATAATTGTTAAAGTAATGTTTTAAATATTCTGTCTATGTAATATTTATTTGAAATATTGTATTTATTCAGAAATTATGCTTCGATTTTTAAAACTGAAAAAAAAAATTTTAATATAATAAAATATATCGAACTCGAAATATGTTAAGAAAAATAATCGAATGTTGAGATTTTATGTCGATTTATCAAGGCTTTGAGTTTTCAAAACACACATGAAAATTATACATTATATTAATATTATAAAGATGTTGATGATTCAAAGTTCGTTAAGGATTGTTAAAATAGAATTATTTCAATAAATAATTGCACATAATTATAAGCATTGTTGAAGATTAATAGTATTAGACAATATTAAAGCATTGAGTGTATTGCATATAAAAGATAGATTATTGAATAGGATAAAGTGACACAGTCATTTTTATTACAATTTTTTAATTTTTTTGTTTATATTTAATGTAATAAGATTCTAAAAGTTTTCGAGAAATAGATTATATTAATATATAATTAAAAAAATAATAATAATCAATAATTTTATATCTTGTCAAAAAAAAAAAAAAAAAATTTCATAATTTTATTTATAATGTCATAGTGAAAAATGCCAAAGATTTTATTTCATGCTCTCTCTCTCTCTCTCTCTCTCTCTCTCTAATGTTTACATTGCAAGCGTTGAACAATAAATAAATATGAAAATATGATAGATTGCGACGACAGAAAGCAGCCCCCGGAGTTTTTGATCGGCATAATGTATGTCAAGCGAGAAAAATTGTAATGTTTTACATGCATCGAGCTTTGAGCCGTCATCATGATATAAAGTTTTTTTACACATTTGTAGTACAAAGCAGTGAATTATAAATTTAAGTAATTAAAGTTTAAATAATTAAAAATCGAAGCAGAATTTTATATCAACGAGCACTGACCAATCATTAAAAATTGTATGCATATTTAAACTTCGTATTTGATTAAGATGTACTAAATTACTGATCAAGCATATAATAATAATAGCAAAAAACAACAACAACAACAACAACAATAACAAATAATAATAATAATAAATTGAATATAATATTTGCATAGTTTGTTAAGTAATCCTAGAAAAATATATAGAAGTTAATTTGATAAGCTCGTAAGCTCTTAATTTATTCGCGAATGAAGAAATTAATAAAATCAAAGGAATAAACGAAATAGGAAGAAATTGATCATACAAGATCTGTACACTATTAAATTAAATATACAGCATTTTATTATTTAATTAATTCGTTAAAATTAAGTAAAAAGATGAGCTTTTTTTCATTACATTGGTAGTTATATTGGTCAGTGCTTAATTTATTATTGGCAATCATTTGCTTTGGTAGAGCATCGCGCCAAGAGGATGTGCAAACCCTCGAATTCTGTTTCAGATGGTACAAGTTTATCGAGGGCACCTCTCGACGTCAGCCGGTTCAGCTGAACGAACGCGTGCGCCAGGTCAGCGGAACCCTAATTATTCTCGAAGCCCAGGTCGAGGACTCGGGCAAGTATCTCTGCGTCGTGAATAATTCCGTAGGTGGCGAAAGCGTGGAGACGGTTCTCACCGTAACAGCGCCCCTCTCGGCCGACATCGAGCCCAGAAGCCAGACGATCGACTTCGGTAGGCCGGCCACCTTCACCTGCAACATTAAAGGCAACCCCATCAAGACCATCTCCTGGCTGAAGGACGGCAAGCCCCTTAGCCACGAAGAGACTGTGCTGCGGATCGAGAGCGTTAAGAAGGACGATAAGGGAATGTATCAGTGCTTCATTCGTAACGACCAAGAGAGCGCTCAAGCGACCGCTGAACTTAAGTTGGGAGGACGCTGTAAGTTAGCGCGTCGTAGCGTAGCTTCGTTTAGTACTTTCATCGTTCGCTTATCTTATCTGATCTTATATCGCCTATGTGATTTCACAGTCGAACCACCGCAAATTCGATCGGCTTTCCACGAAGAGACTCTTCAACCCGGACCAAGTGTCTTTCTTAAATGCACGGCCAGTGGTAATCCGACACCGGAAATTACGTGGGAGCTGGACGGGAAGAAATTATCCAATACCGAACGATTCCAAGTCGGACAGTACGTCACCGTGAACGGAGACGTTGTTTCGAACCTCAACATTTCCAGCATCCACACCAATGACGGAGGACTATACAAGTGCATCGCTTCGTCAAAAGTAAGCCATTTTGCCGCGGGATTTGTTGGCAGGCATATTGTAAAATCAATGACGATTGGGGATGAGAGAAAGAATATTATAATAATCGCAGGTGGGATCTGCTGAACACTCGGCTCGGCTCAATGTTTATGGTCTTCCCTTCATCCGTCACATGGACAAGAAAGCCATCGTTGCCGGAGAAACACTGCGAGTAACTTGCCCCGTTGCCGGGCACCCCATCGAGCACCCGAGTACTTCCGATCAACCGTAAGCAGAAGGTGTTCCCGAACGGAACATTGATCATCGAGAACGTCGAGCGAATGACCGATCAAGCCACCTACACCTGCGTCGCTCGCAATGCTCAAGGTTACAGCGCTCGAGGCACCCTCGAAGTACAAGTTATGGGTAAGTCTGACGTAAATTTTCTTTAAGAGCAATTTAATAATCATAATTTAAACTTTTACAAGGGAATTGCCGTAAAGTTCGTTGGAACTTTTGCTATTTAAAAAGACTTATTTATAATGAAAGTTATTTAAAAGCCGTTTAATCTGACTTGAAGCATCGATTTAATGAGACTCTGTTATTATTAGTTTGAAATGAATTCTATGATGAATTATACTTTTAAGATTATAATATAAAAATTTATCGATTATATAAATATATTAATAACAAGAAGGATGCGCAAATATGTATATTATAATGGATATGGAGATCCATCGAAACTTAATTTACGGAGCTCACGAGTTTTTCAGGTGCAGTTTTAATTAACTTAACTTTTTACTGAATAATTTTCTTTAGCAATTATTTACAACACGATGAGACAAATTTCATTTATTGGTGCTAAACTGAGGAACTGCCATTGGAAATCGTCGCTTTAGACACTGTACGTTCAGACAATAAGGAGTAATTGTAACAAGTACTAAACTATCTGCCTTCTTGCAACATAAGCTTTCGAGACTATAAATGCGCGACGCATAAAAGTGTCCATAACTGTTCATTTTATACAAGCGTAATTCAATAATATTTAACCGAATATGTCTTAAATTTTGTTTTTTTTTAACTTTGTAACGTGACGATACGTATTTGTAGTTTCAACGAACATTATACAATCGCATATTCCAAGAGCTCTTGCTAAGCATAAACAGACATATATATATATATATATATATATATATACAGAGACAGAGTTTTTTTATTGTGAATAGCCAACACAATGACGGTCAAATATTAACTTTTATCGAGATAGTTGTAATATCATTGAAAAAACAATCTTATTCGTTGTTTATTAATCATATTGCCAAATCAGAATTACAATTGTCTGTTTAGATAACTTTTTTTTTCTACCATACGTACCTTCATACTTACATTACTATATAATAAATAAAGAAAATTTTTAAGCTTTTTCACCAACGATTGAACAAAATAGAATTTTCATATTAATTTTGTATTCGTATGAGAAATTGGTATTATTATACAGATCACATAAAATTAAAGCTATTTTAATTTTAATTTCCCTAAATCTCAAGAATTGCCTTGCTATAAGAAAAATTAAGAACGAGAGCCTAAAGGGGACACTGTGCGAACAAAATATTCACCATTTTATATTGTTGTACATTGATGAATTTCGAAATGAAAAAAAAGAAATTATAATTAATTATCAAGATTGGTACGGCGGTTCATGGTTTATGCAAGTGTTTTATTTTATATTCTAACGTAAAAATTCACTACGTTTGAATGTAATTTGATTCGTCATGTTTATCATACGATTTCCATAATAATATTTAAATATGTTATTTTTGTAGGCTTAAATTTCAAAAAGCAAAAAATAAAAAAAGGAAAAAAAAAGAAAAGAATCATAATAATTATTCTTATTAAAACGTAATTTTGTTTTTGTAAATTTATCGATTATTTTTGTTAAAAAATCATTTCTTTTTTCTAATAGATTTTAATGTGAAAGCTATAGAAAAATTTGGACAAGGTGTGAAGTATTCCTGGAAGTTGACATTAATATTACCGTTTAAAAGAGCTGTATTTTATTCCTTTTTTACTTTATTTTAATAAAACTATATATATATATATATATATATATATATATATATATTATATTGAGATGTGCATTAATAATGAACACTCAAAACGTGGAATTAAATGAACATTTTAAAATTTTAAATAGAGCGTAGATATTACTATCAACAACAACTGCCACTTAATAAATGAATCGTGGCTGTTATGTTGATGAAAAAAGGCTCGGTACCCCCTCACCATTAACAAATGCATTTGAGCGTATTTTCAATTCTTAGGCGCGTCATCTCTATCGCACCAACGAGTGTGCGTAAATTCTCATTTAGGGCATATTTATTTTACGGCCACGTATTCAATTGAGGGTACTTTATACTCTTTTAGCTACGTTCATACGAAACGTCATTCGTTCCTTTACGCAACATCGCTAACGATAGGCATAATCCAAACCTATTAGCCGACACGTTACAATTCCCATAGGTCGCAATTTTCTTGCAATGACAATTATCATTTGCCGAATTTTCAACGTATCGGTACATAATCCGCAGAAAAGTCGATCGATTACGCGCGCGAGCCCACACAGGCACAAAAGCACACAAAACAGTCGTGTACTGCACCAGGCTTATCGAGCTTCCAGTTGAAGCTACGATGCATTGGCATTAGCAAGAATTACCATTTTACTTTGACTGTCTTTCTCTTTCACACGGCACGTACGTGACAAACACATAACGAGCCAATGCACGAATGGCATTACGCTGAAATATCCTGCCTCTTTAGCCTCGCCCACGATTCAGCCATTCGCATTCACGAAGCTGCCGATGAACGCCGGCGAATTCGCCAATCTGCAATGTATAGTGCCGGTCGGCGATCTACCGCTCAAGATCCGTTGGACTTATCCCGGGGACAGGATCGGCGGCGCATCCGGCGTACTAGTTAAGAAAGTGGCCGATCGTGTTAGCATGCTCATGATCACGGCTATAACAGCAAGGCACGCCGGGAAATATGTGTGCACAGCCGAAAACGCGGCCGGATCCACGTCGTACGCGACCTCGCTCGTGGTCAACGGTTCGCAGTAGTTGTCGATACTCTTCTATTGTATTTTCTTTTTTTTATTTTGTTCTTTTTTTTTTTTCATCTTTTTGATGCTACAGTAGTTCATTCTCTTAATTTTATTGATTATTGTGCCTGGGTACCGTACCCGACATCATCCTTCCATCACGACACGACAAAAGATCATTGGCAAGCCTCTCTCCTCCCCTCCCCCCTTCCCCCTCCCATCCACCTCGTCCCCTCGCCAACCACCTCGTTCCCTCGCCAACCACGCTCCAGCCAAACATAGTCTCAGTTAACATACTACTGCCGTGGCATCGTTGGGCGGGCGCTCGTGTGTCTCGAGGACACGTAGAAACGAATGAGCTTAATTCGTTCACGCGTGTGTTTAGTCGGGCCGCAATTGTTGCCGATCGCATTTAACGCAGAGACTGCGAACGAGGGAGATTCCGTGTCGGTAGCCTGTTCCATATTGAAGGGCGACATGCCGATGGAGATCGAGTGGGCCTTCAACGGATCACCGATTCGCTCCTCGGCCGATCAGATTATCACGGTTAATCGCATAAACAAGCATCTGAGTACGCTGAGCGTGGATGGGGCGGCGGCAAGACACGCCGGCGAATATTCGTGCACTGCTTCGAACGTCGCCGGATCGGTCAGTCACTCCACAGTCTTGGCCGTTAATGGTACTTTTATTTATCAGCAGATATTGTTTTATAACGAGACTGTCGTTACGTATGTAGTGATGCCATTGCTGTGAGTTCCTGGTGCGCTTAGTTATTTATCTCCAATCTCAACGATCCCCCATCCTTATATTACGATACTGGCACACGCGAGGCAGCGGATATGGAAGAGTTAAGGCAACACGGTAGCCAAGTACGTCCATCCATAACTGCGATATCAACGATTCGTCGTGTTTCCGATTTCTGTTCTTTCGTCCCTTTCAATAACTATAAATGACAAATCGCATACTACATTTTCTAAGACTCACCATTAAAATATATAAGAAATTGAGAAAAGAAACTCCATTCATCCAACGAAGCCAGTATTGTTTGTTTGTTTATTTTATTTCTTCCTGTCTAATTATTTAATAAACTCGAAATTAAAAAAAAAAAAATAATAATAAAATAAATTATTGACTTACGTAACATTTAAATGACGATTCGTGATGAATAAATGGTATTTTTTTGGGGTTACTTTCTTCTTGTTTTGTTTATCAATGCAAAACTTGATACTATATGATGCGAAATTGTACTTGATAATAGAATCATATCGATTGAAAATTACGCCTTTTCGACAGCCTAATCAATGCATTGCCCAAGTAGATCCTTAAGTGGAGAGAAAATAAGCTTTTCTTGCGAAAAATAACATAAAAACACTTAACAATCACACGTTATAAGAAATATAACCTTGCCAATTTTGTTTTATCTTGAGTCGATTATAAGACCACGCAAACTACGAGCTCTTACACCAATTTAATTAATAAGCTTTCACGAGCTTTAATGCCCATATTGAATAATTTATTGGAAGCAGATCAAAACACATGTGCGAATCATGAAATTTGTGCTTCAATATTGGTAGTCAACTTCTCGTACGTAAATTAATCTACGATCTAGCATTAAAACATGAAAAGAGAATGTACTTTAAGAAAATGAAAAGCAGGGGAAAAAAGCCAATGAGCCGAGTCGAAAAGTGAGCGACCATTCCTCTCGTTTCTTCGCTCCGTTCGAATCATTAGCTAATTACTTTTAACAGTTGCTCCACAAATACTGGCCTTTACGTTCGGCGATGAGCCTGCCAACTGGGGCGACTTGATGTCAGTAACGTGTTCCGTGGTAAAAGGAGATCTTCCAATTGATATATCTTGGGCATTTAAGGACACACTGTTAAATGATTTGCACGATCACGACGTCGTCATAGGGAGCACCAATAAAAAGAACAGCGTACTAAGCATTGAATCCGTAACTGGCAAACACGTCGGGGAGTACAGCTGTTTGGCTTCGAATCACGCCGGCGCTGCTTCTCATACGGCATTTCTAGCTGTCAACGGTATAATCATAGAGTAGCTCGCACTTTTGAAAATCCCGACTAATGCGTAATAAATCGATCGAGCAGCTCCTTCCATCCTCACACTCGTTCGCCGTCCGTCCGTCTCCTTGGACTCGTCGTCTAGTCGCGCTTGACCATCTCCCGGTACACGAATTCCAAATTTATATTTTTTTTTTTTTTTTTTTTTTTTTTTTTTTTTTTTTTTTTTTTTTTTTTTTTTTTTTTTTTTTTGTTCAATTAACAAAACAATGAGAAAATGTTGGAACAAGAGACAAAGAAAATTATGCCCAACATCATCGGCTCTGCCTTCAATTGCCTTTGGATATTTAAGTGGCTCCACAGATTCTTCAATTCACGTTCGGCGAGGGTCCCCTCAATTCCGGAGAAATGTTATCTATATCGTGCACGATCATCAAAGGCGATCTGCCCGTACGTTTTTCATGGATTTTTAATGACGAGCCAATCGAATTGAATCGGTCGGACGTGAATGTTGTTTTGAGCCAGCGGGTGAGCTTTCTAAGTATCGACAGCGTAGCAGCAAGACACGCTGGAAAGTACAACTGTATCGCGAGAAACTCCGCTGGATTTGATAGTCATACGGCTGTTCTATCGGTTAATGGTAGATCATGTTTACACCTCGAAACTCATATGTCTTCTTTTGTACTTTCGCGGTAGTTTTTGAAACTGCTTACTCGCTCCATTATTACCTCCATTATTTCTCACACACTATTGTAAAATTTATCTCCATCGTCTTCCCTTACCTTTTCTTTCTCCCAATCATTTTATCATCGTTGCTGTTTTGCATTGTTTTATCCCTTCTTTTCTTTTCTTTTCTTATCGTTTCTTTTCTTTTCGTTTCTTTTCTTTTCTTTTCTTTTCTTTTATTTTCGTTTCGTTTCTTTTCTTTAATATAAAAGCTCTTTTTATGCCATTATACTATAGTCGATGTCGATTATTAAACAATTTTTTTTTTTTCCACTTCCTCTTCGTTTATGTTTACTAGTACTTCGTTAAGACATTGTAATAACGACAATATTATTGACTAGATGTTTTGGCTACCCGAATTTCATGAAGATTGTGTATGGACGGTAGTTTCGCTTTGTAATCTACGATTAAATTTTGTACAAGAATTAGTCGGTGTAGACGTAATAATTTTGTGGTAAATGTATACTTATAAAAAGTTGTCGTTTCGACGACACTCACACGTAATTAACAAACGGCATGTATCCTAAAGCCCAACACATATGACAATTACAGTTGCTCCACAAATTGCACCTTTCGAAATAACGGATAAGCCCGCCAATTCCGGCGACTCAATTTCCGTTGTTTGCGCCATATTGAAAGGTGATTTGCCAATGGAGATTGCATGGTCTGTAGATGGTATACCCATTCAAGAAAAACACACTGACGTTGATGTTCTCGCAACTACGAAAAAGAATAGTATTCTTAGTATTGAGTCTGTCGCTGCTAGACACGCAGGAATATATTCCTGCTCGGCATCCAACAAAGCTGGTGCAGCAAGTCACTCCTCGGTGTTAAAAGTCAATGGTATGTTCTGTGAAACGAACATTTCCCAATCACAATACAAACTATTATAATTTCCTATTTTACCTAATCTCTCTTACCTAATCATCTATATCCTACAAGTGTTACTAGGAAGCGAAACTTTGTCGCTCAAAAGGAATGCCACAAAAGTCGTTGTCTCTGAATCGTCAGATATTAAGTAAAGTTTTTTTTTTTTTTTTGCGAGTGGGCGGATGGGTGGGTGGGGAGTAGGGGTTATTTCGATGGTAATATTCAACGCGATGGTTAAATATTTATTTGAATCCTTTCTTGGAGTATTGAATATCGTATATTGTAAAGATTCAAAACAAAAAAAAACAAAAAACAAGAACAAAAAGAAGAAGATAAAAAAAGTGACAACAAAAATGATGAAATTGGAGTAAATCTTACATAAGTCTATAATTGTAATGTGTAAAGTAAATCGATGACGTAAAGGGTATAAAATAATAATATTTAACATTTTATTTAAAAATTGATAGATTTACATTGGATACGTGAAAGTAACGTGAAATTAGAATGAAAATTAAAGTGTCGATAAAGCAAGAATAATAGAACGAGCTCCGACTCAAATAATTAATTGAGCTTTACAAAACAATCTGCACTACTTATACCTTATTAAACTACAATTACCCTATTAAATTACGTAATAGCGATATCCAACTAATTACATGATATACAAGTTTGACTTCCTTCTCCATGATTGAACTACGTAAATATTCTATTCAATAAGTTATCATATTTTAATATTAAGAGTTCGATTTTCAATTTTCAATTACTCATACGACGTAAAATAATTTGACTATAAGTACGATTACCCTTAAATCGATAATAACGTACAATATATAACAATTACCATCACCATCACAGCGACCATCACAATTGAATCTATTTTTAATTACAATAAATAATATAAAAATACACGTTATTATCGAGCCTCTAATAGTGTCAGATAGATATTATTGGTCAATACGATTTACAAAAAATAATAATAAAATAAATAAAACTTTACCGCAACTTAAAAAGCACACGTTATAAAATACAATACAAATACAGACAGTTTATTCAAGTCAATTTGCGAAATTAATCTCGCGATTATTATCGCAAAAATATTGATATTTCAAATTACCGATAAAATACGACATTATCCACCGATTAAAGTGCAGTAGTACTTGATAGGATTTATAAAGTGAAATATTTATCCAAGTTGCACCTGAAATTGCCCCTTTCGTACTCGGGGAAAAGCCATCCAACTGGGGAGACACCGTCACGGCAACATGTACAGTACTGAAAGGTGACTACCCTATCGACATCAACTGGGCTCTCAACGGAAAGCCAGTACAACGCCAAAATAACGAAATTTCAATAGTCAATACAAGCAAACGCGTTAGTTTACTAACTATCGATGGCGTACAAGCACATCACGCCGGAGAGTTCACTTGTATGGCAAACAATACCGCAGGTGCAACGAGATACTCGACTCTCTTAGCTGTCAACGGTACCTCTCAATACATCGATAATTTATTTAACGCATAATTAGGCGATTTCTTATCCTTCTGCACTACTCTCACCCCGTCACTCCCGCATACTCATCAAATCATTTTCAATTGGAGCGCAATATATTTCAAATTGATATTCACCGCTATTAATTTTTGACGAGCCCATTCATCGTCGGTTTAGTTATCGTTACCTATTCCATTCTTGTCTAATTTTTAATTTCTTTTAACAAGTTTCCCCGCAAATCGTTCCATTCGTATTTGGTGACGAGCCAGCCAACTCAGGAGAGTCAGTCTCAACCGTGTGCACTGTCTCTCGTGGCGATCAACCATTGGATTTTTCTTGGTACTTTAACGGGGAAAAATTATTGATACAAGATAGGGAAGGTTTATCGATATCGACTAATAAGCGCAGAAGCTTATTAGAAATTGAAGCTGTGAGTGCTAATCATGCCGGTGAATATACTTGTTCCGTTTCAAACGAAGCCGGAGCCACGAGTCACAGCAGCACTCTTGCTGTTAATGGTAAACTCGCCTGTATGCATTAAATTAAGTAAATAAAAATATACAGCAAACAGACACGCACGCGCGCACACACACACACCTATATATATATATATATATATATATATATATATATAGGTGTGTGTGTGTGCGCGCGTGCGTGTCTGTTTGCTGTATATTTTTATTTACTTAATTTAATGCATAGTTGACACTGATAGGTTTAGACTATGTATGTAGGTCGTAGAAATTATAATTACTTTTTCAAAAGACCATGAAAATGTTCAAAACTTGAACATTTATTTTATGCACGTTTTAATCTATATCTGTTAATCATCTGATATATACTTCAATCATTACAACATATATTCAAAATTTTTTTATAATTAAATTCAATTTATTTCCAATATTTTTTAAGTTAAAATATATAATTCAAAATTATAAACAATAGTATAATCGATTTGTTATTTAATAAATTAATTGTTTTTAAACATTAGACATTTATTGAATAAAGTCACTTTACTATAAAATACCAACAAATTTTCGTAATTATAAATAACAAATATTTGCAATCTTTTCCTCTGTATTCGCCATTGTTTAATAGACATCTAATCAACTTGTTGTTGTTGTTGTTGTTATTGTTATTGTTATCATCATCATTATCATCATCATCATCATCATCATCATCATTATTATTATTATTATTATTATTATTATTATTATTATTTTAACAGACTATACGTAACAAACTAAGCGTTTATCTAATGAAATCTACTATCTACATGGAGTTCATTAGCCATCATAATCATTAAAACCAATTCACATTATTCCTTTATTATCCATCCCATTACAATCTCTAATTGGGAGAGTTTTATTTGTTAAAAAAAAAAAAAAAAAAAAAAAAAAAAATGAAAAAAAAAAGAAGCTATATATCCACAAGAAATATTTGATTGTTTAGATTCGTCTATGTAATTACAGTCCCACCACAAATAGCACCATTTAATACTGGACAAGAACCTGCTAATTGGGGTGAACAGATTTCCTTCATTTGTAACGTTCTAAAAGGCGACGATCCTATTAAAATTAAATGGATGTTAAATAAGGAAGAAATTTCGCCCGTATCTCATCCGGGCACGAGCACGTCCAATAACGGAAATAAAATATCGTTTCTCGTAATCGGTTCGGTTAATGCACACCATGCTGGAGAATACACATGTATCGCTAGTAATTTGGCAGGAACATCTTCCCGTAGTACAATCTTGGCGGTGAATGGTACACGTTAATAAAAACATGAACTTTGCTTGTAATGCCTTCGATATTGCCCAATTTATTGCACCACTCTTACGCAACACAATTACATAGAGCATTGCCTACCAATCTTGATTTTTTAATTGTATATCAACCTTAGATCCTTTATACTAACATGCAAAACTGTCTATTTAC